GTGAGCAATGGTACCATGTAACATGCCTGACTGTATTATTGTATTATCTCTCATGCTCTCAATGACTTTAATATAATGCTTATATATCTCAACCGTACAATTGTGCATTACTGAACCCTGAAGCAGTATTACTGAACTCGTAGGAGTAGCAGCGGGTGGGGGCTGGCTCCCCACCTCCCTCTGCGTCATTATTTTTAATACTACAATTGTCTTTCAAGGGGAGACCAAATAAAAGACACATTTTTCAGTTAGTTCTTTCTAACTTAAAAAAAACAAACAAACAAGGGCAGCCAACTTTCCAGAGATACAGGCTCTGGCAAAAACATTTTTACTTTCCTAAAGTGATATGCTCTTTTGAAGTCCAGCTGTATTTTATATATATCTGCTCCTTTGCTGTCAGTGAAAAAGAGAATTTTTTTTTAATCTCCAAACTCAAGTGTTTGTGTAGAGTGCAAGTCGGAGTTTGTGGTTTGCTTTTGAATTCCGCACACAGCAGAGGTCAGAGTGGCTGCAACTGTCCCTAATTCACACCTTGACTCGTCCTCTGCTCCGTTCACATAAGTTCACCTGGATCACTGCCGTCCTGATTCGAAGACATATTCTCAGCTTTCATTCGTGACGAGCAGCCCCGAAGTTCATCCATTTCTCTCTTCTTCTTCATTTCTTCTTTTTCTTCCCTTTTCATTTCCTGAATTTGGGCCTCGTTTTCATTCCTTTCTTCTCGGTCTCTGCACGCTTTCTCTGCGGCTAGGTCTGGGAACCTTTCCATTTTGGTCTGTTCTAATCGGTTCAGTATTCCATTCATTTTCTTCTCCGCTGTCACAGTTTTTACATCCTTTTGCCTGTGAAAGCCTACCTGTCCCACATCCACGTCAGCTGTTTTCTTCCGGTTAGACCACGGTGTGTATACCAAGTTAACGTTGTTCATCTTGCAGCCTTGGATGCTATTGGCCTTCACAAGGTGTGTGCAGTCCGCCCGCACTTCCTTTGAATATCTTCTATGTTTTCCCCCTTCTGTAATCGAGGATAGACGTGAGCCAAAGAGTTTTTCCACATGAAACCAAGTATCTTCTGGCCAGCCATACTTTATTAGACCTCCATTTTTATATTTATCCTTTCCCATGTAAACAGTGTAAGCAGATGAGTTGGCGCAGCAGCTGGTGAAGTAGAACACCATGGTCCCGCCGCCGACGCAGCGACTCGTGCAGAATAGCAGTGTTTCTCAATGATCTTTTAATTCCATGTTTCATGAACTTTTTGAAGCCCTCGATGTCCACACGAATACAGTAGACTAGATGGAACATAAAGTTATTAAGACAGCTTAGCCATAACCAAATACCTTGAGGGAATGAGTCATAGGGTCTAGGGGTCAGGAGCACAGTCCCTGGGGACATCAAGGTCAACTGGCACAACCTAAGTCACAAAGAAAATGATAACATATATGCTACTTTGGTGAGCAGTGCCTGGAGTCCTAAAAGCTTGTGAGCAGCCATCTGAAAGGGCGAACACTGGGCTCTCCTCATCCAGAAGTAAGAAGATGGATGACAATGGAATGACACATAGAAACAATTCGTCCCAAGGACTAACGGACCATGAGACCCTCACCCCCCATGACTACGAGGCCGCGAGAATTACATGGTTCCATCCTCCACTGAGGACTGTTCTGAAAAGGATCATAATAGAACATTCTGGGTAGACTGGGAGAGAAATGTAGAACAAACCTTAAAATCACAACAGATCAAGGCTCACTGGTGGGATAAAGCTGGTAGATGTTGGCCTTTGGTCACCCTTCAAGGCTGGAAAGGGAGCCACCTTTAGTTCTCAACTTCCAACCAAAGGACAAGTCTGTGAGGTGGACAGTAAAAGCACGGAGGTACCTACAACACTTGGAACAGTCAAGCCTTAGAAATCAAAAGAGCTGCATTTGCCCAGGTGCCAAACGCAGATGGCAGGAAGAGAAAGGAAAGGGGGTGCGTGAACACTCGGAGAGGCAATGGGCTGCGTGACGTTATATTGTGAGGATCTGCAATTATGACCTGGACCAAAATGATTGAATAGAAAATGGGTTTGCTCTTTACGTTTTCATCCACACACACGCACACACACGTTAATGCAACAAAACAAGAACAACACACTAACCAGCGGGGGTTGGAAATCAAATGAACATTTCTACTCTGCCTGGGGATGCATGTGCATACCTGTGTGTGCTTGAGTGAAGAGGTGAGTGTGAGTATATGTGTGAGCATGTACTGTGTGCGTGAGTGTGTGAGGGTTATGTGAGTATGTGTGTTTGGGGTAACCAACAGGGTCTTTTGAGGTCGTCACTATTCTGCTGCTTTGAGCTGCGTTGTAAACCTCTTACGGTTAAACTGGGGTTTAAATTGGGCTCGAGCTGACTGCGCCACATCCATTTGAAGTCCCTTGGGAGAAAACTGGGACCCGTTTTATACAGAAAGTGCTTTATGAATATATGAGATTATTACTTGGCCTGGGGCACGTCCTTACATAAACGTGTTCTAACTCTGTTTTTTCCAGCTGCGGTTTCTCATCAGCCTGCACTCAGTTTCAGACTCAACAGACGGTCTGGTCAGACCTATCTTTTGTTTACATGTTAGCCACTTAGAAACAACCTCCAGCTGAGAAGGGCTTTTCCCAGTTTCGCAGCAGGAATCAGAAAA